TAATGTGTCTTTTGAGGGAAGAGATTGGATTTGTTTTGCTTAAGTTCATCAAAAGGTCTCTGGAATGGAAAGCATTTACTTCCAAGTCCTTGAAAACTGCTGGTGAGTTGTAAATATTTTCAGGAGGTGACCCTGATAATTCTTTAGGGCTAGGTATTTGTGTTTCTTAATACTATTGTGATACTACCTAATTTCTTTGCCTTAGTGAAATGAATCTTCCAAAGTCATCAAGGACAGCTTCATAAAGGACTGATTCAAACACAGGCATGATACTGCCTTTGCCTTTGGTGTTAATGTTATGATACAGCCCTGTTTTGCTCCATTTTCAGCATGAGGGTGCTCACATGTCTAGCAAGATGCCTTTATGACCCCCTACAGGAAGGGAAATAAAATATATCAGAACAACCTAGTGGGAAGTAGTTCTGGAATAACCATCAACACGTGGAGTTGCACTACAGTAGCAAGACTAAGTGCTTTTTGTATCGGGGAGAAAAAAGATTTGATGTCCAGATACGCACAGGAACTCCTTAAACATTATGAGTTTGGGCCAGATAGGAAAACGGATACATTTTGTGGTCTGTCTTCCAGATCACAGAGAACCCCATGAGGATCTCTTTCTCGGGGCTCTTTGGGTCAGTGATGGCAGAAGCTGCTCCTTCTACAAGTAAAGTCAAGATAAGCCATCACTCACTCCAGAAGAGGCCAGTAGGAACTTGCCATGCAGTGAGTTTAGTTGCGAAGCCTGTCACAGATACTGAGCTGGCAAAAAGAAGCGCCTTTTCTGGAGGATCCTGTCCTGATGGGTGGTATTCTCTAGAGTGTTAAAAGTTGCTAAACCTGCAGTTTCATAAAAGACAGCCTTTGAGGGGGGTACCACAGGAGGCAGTTAGGACTGTGGGTCTGTGGCCCTGCCTAGGTCCACAGGGCACCTTTTTCTCTGTTAAGAGGACGCTGGCTCTCGGGGAAGGGTAGGCTGTGTTATAACCTGTGACACTGCACTAGAAATGTGGCTAAATCTTCAACCCTGTCTACAACTGCTAGTTCTGAGCACACACATCTATGATATAGTTTCCCTGCTGGAATCTAGACATTGGAAAATGGGATTTAGCGTTGGGTCTGCACTGGCAGATGCCTTTATTGACAGGTGATAGACATGCTTCCCTAACTGTGAGCTGACCACGGTATCAGGTTTGATGAGCTCCTCTTAATTCAGTCACGCTGACCACACTGTGCCGTGGGCTTGGTCTGTAGCTTGGAGCTTTGGCAGCTTGGTTATGTCAAACTGCCCTCAGACGTTGTTCTGATCAGAACCGATCTGTGCAAAAGAGCTCCTCCTCCCTAGTGTGCTTTTTCTTCAGGTTTGCTGGCATAGCCATTTGTCTAATTGCTTTGTAATCCGGTAGTGCCAGAATGAAGGGTGTTGCTTTAAATCCTTTTAATGGAGATTTGGTTTTTTTCTTTTAATCTGTGGCAGAGGATGAGGGTAACCCAGCAAAGAACTGCACATTCACCTGTGGCCTCTTTTACGAACAGGAAAACCAAACATCTTCGTTGTCTGACGTAGCAGTAAAGGAGGGGGGGAATAGATAGAAATAAAAATATTTAGAAATCCAGTTTATTATTGTCAGGTAAGTGATGTGACCTGCCCTTATCAGGGAGACTGTTATTCTGTCAGTCCATTAAAAGTGTGGACTTAAGCATGACCTTGAATATATGTATAAATGGGGAATAGTGGAGAGTGTCGGGAGTTGGAAGGAGTAAGTTGCTTCTTACGTTACGTGAGAGAGACAAACTAGTTGCTGAACAGTGTTTGTCAATGGGTATACCTGCGGTTTGATTTTTGTAAGCAGAATAAAGGAGTCTGATAGCCTCTCACAAAGGAACATTTTGTCATATTGTCTGAGCAGTGTCAGACATTTACGTGTTCATCTCACAACTGAGTTTACTCCAGGTATGTCTCCCCAGTATTGTCTTAAGCAAATGTCTTCTACCTGCAAAGCCATTTGCCCAAACCTGGGAATTTTTTGTAGCTTGTTTGGGTGTGCAGGCTACGTGTTGAGGTAGCACAGCAAGTCAGCTGTCAATGGAAGTAATTCAATGACTTCTTGTTGCCCAGGTTTTATTTTGTAGGGTGGTTCTTTGTCCGGTGGAGCTAGTTCAAGTTAATACAGTGTTAGATTATAAACTCCTTAGGAATCATTTCCCTGGTGTTTTGCAAGGGATTGAGCACATGGTGAATGCTTAGTTTTGCATTGTCTGTCTCCTCATAACAGAATGTCTGACTTCAGAAGCAGTGTGTGCTCTAGCTTATTACGTTCAGCTGCTGCCTGAATTCAGTCAAGGTATATATAGTTCCAAAGTCATGTAAATCCATATTTGAGAGTCTTTCCAAATACAGTACTTGGTTTTGAAGTCCTGCCTAATTACTAGAAAATTAGCACCCTACCTACATGTTTTTCGTGTTCTTGCCTGAAATAACTTTCGCCCTCCCCCGCCCACACCTTTTGCATCCAGCAGGTTGGGAACTGTTTGGGTGTTGTTTTTTTTTTTTCTCACCTATTTCTATGGCGACAGATTATAGGTTCACAAAAGGAAGGATTATTGCTTTTTATCCTAAATAATCCAGGATTTAGCAATTTCTTCTGCATACATTGTGAGAATGAAGGGCTGCTACTTAAGCCTTGGTAGCACTTCCTCAGCCTGAAGAGTGAGAAATGGAATCTGTTTGGAAAAGATGGAAAGCTCTTGAGTATACTAAGGATTTGATGTCTGATATCAGCGAGTTCTCAAATGAGGTTTGCCATTGGTTCTTTTTTTGCTTTATAGCATGCGTGCTTCACTAATTTTTTCAGCCTGTGCTTTTCAGTTCTCTGTTACCCTTGAAATCAGTGTTTCTACCTCCTCTGTCGTGTCATGGAGGGAGGTTAGAGACTGATGATAGGTAGAGAGTGAAGTGTGGCATGTCTTATTTCCATGGGTGCTAGAGGATGGTGCCACAGCTGAATGAAGGTGGGATTGTAGCACTTTCTACAGTACCTGGGGACCTGTGCAATGACCTACATCAGAGGATGGAGTTCAGGCTGTGCTTGCTATCAAAGTGTGCTCAAGGTGCAGTAGGACTTGTATTTTGGTTGTTCACATGCTGAAGCCTATGCATTATATTCTCATAGCTTTCACACCTAAGATAGCGAGATGAAGCTTGCAGCAGCAGGGATTGCTGTCCACCATTCACGTGGATGTTTTGACGTGTGATTTGCTTGGCTTTTGGACAGTGGCTGCTCTTGGATAGCTTGGGCGAGAGACCTAGATTTCTGTCTGGTTTAAACTTTTTTTTTTTTTTTCCTGTCAGTTTCAATGGTGGTATTTTTAACTTGGATCACTTACTGTTTTGAGCCCCCTTGGCAGTGAACAAAGTTGAGCAGTGAATATTCGTCCTAAGAGGGGTGTGGGTGTATGCATCTATTTTGAGATGAGAATCTGTCACCCTAGTAGCTCCAGCCATTTCTTTCAGCATCTGGCAGGCAACCCTCTGTGCACTCTGTCTTTTTAGGCTTCTTTCTGGTGCTTTATTTCAAGCTTATCCTCATCGTTCGTGCTTAAACAGGAGACCCGAGCATCATTGAGGGTTTGATATTTTATGAACCAAGTTTCAAGACATGGTCTATGGAAATGGGAGTGGGGAAGAGTCTTAATTGTAGGCATCCAGCTACAAAGGCGATGGCTGAACGAGAAGCCAGCTTAACTAAGAGGAGAGCAACCCATCTTGTTTGGTGGCAGAGTGCTAGACAACATTCCTGCAGCATTTTTTGCTACTGAATATTGTAGCAGCAGAGAACATTTCCTAGAGCAGGGAGAAGAGGCATTGCTCTCAACCAGTGAGCACTTTGACTACTGTTGCTTGCTCTCCAGGCCCTCAGCGAGCCCCTCTGCTCAGTGAAAGATGTTTTCACTGCTGTTGTGGAAGCTGTCCAGTGGGAGGCATGCTGATGACTTGGTGGAATTAAGCAGCAAACAGGGCTGGTGGCAGCTGGGTCCATCTGTCTGCATAGCTGCCATAGTGAGTCCCTGCCTGAGCTTTGCCTGAACAGCTGCCCTCCCTTGGAGGTGTGCTTGGGACTGGTTTTGGTAAACCCTGACAGCTGGGCTCTGTTGCCTTGACCTGCCAGGAAGCTTCCTCTTGGGCATCGCACCGAGTTTCAAGACAAACGCAGACCTTCTTTAGCAGGCAGGCTCAAGGGCCAGGCTGCCCGAGTTCTGTGCTCAAACATCTGTCACAACCTGTTGCAATGGGGCCGTGTCACAGCTGTTTGTCTTGTAGTGACTGTTGTTTTAATAGGTTTGTTTTAAGAGGCAAGGGCCTTGTGGTTCCAGGTCATTAGTCTTTGTCTCTTCAGTTCCAGTGCATTAAAAACTGGGGAAGGCATGTTGATTCCTCAGGTCCTTCTTATGTATCCTAAAGCTGTGAAGAAACAACTATTTACAGTGCCTGAAACTTGGGATGATTTGATATGCCCTTGTCCTTGAAAAATTTTGCTAAAGCAGGGCAGACAAAACTGTAACCATGAGCCCATTTCCTAGGTTTCTGAGTACCATCATACACAGTTCTTGGGAATCGTAACTTCCATTTCCCAGAATCCTGTATATTAAGCAGCAGCTCTACTGCACGCTTCAGATGTATCAGCAGTGCTGATTATGGAGAGGGCTTGCACCCCCGAATATGCCTCTGAAAAACAACGAAGTGGGTTATTCACAAAGTTGTTATTAAAGTTTTGGCACGTTCATGGTACTAGCCCAAAGAGTCTCAGGCAGAATTTATTTCTACTTTAATAGTCCATCTTTTCATTGCAAAAATGCCTACTCTGAGTCATAGCGTTAAACATACTGAATGGGAAGATCGATTGTTATTCCAGCCTCTTGTGTTTCCCTGTTTGAAAGCCATTGCTTTCCTTTGCATCAGCTGAATTCAGTGCTAATGCCTGACACGTTTCCTTTCCTGACAGGAAGAAACCCACACACGTGACAGTGAACTGCTGGTTCTGCAATCAGGACACGGTGGTGCCATATGGGAATCGCAACTGCTGGGATTGCCCCAACTGTGAGCAGTACAATGGGTTCCAAGAGGTACTGTGACAAATTGCTTGAAGGGTGGCTAGGAAGGTGCATGCCCTGTGGGGAAACCCTGCTCCTTGTTTAAGATGATACAGACCCAGTGCAGGTTAATATCCAGCCGTTTGACAGCTGGCAGCTCTGTGCTGAGCACCTGTGGACTCAGGAACCGATCGTTTCATCAAATTTGAGAAAGAATCCACTGTACTGGGATTTGCTGATGTAGAATGATGAGGACAAATTTTCCTCTCTTGCTTCAAAGGGCGAAAAGGGCCTTGGCATTTTCACCAATATCTCGTAAGAATCTTTTTTTAATACGTGGAACAATTCTTCTCTGGTTTTGTATTTTAAAACAGCTGAAATGCTGTATTTAAGAGTATTAAATAACAAAGCCTGTCTTAAGCCAAAGTCCAGCACCAGCAGCTCCTTGCAATAGGTGTACAGAACAGTGGAGGAGGGAGATGATTTGAAGCATTTTGTCTCTTTTCTTACTTATTTCTTTTGTCACATAGGTGAATTCATGGAGTGTAGAGCTCCTGACAGAGCTTAGGGAATCTTGTTATCAACCAGAGGATATCTACCTTTGATTTTGCAATCTCATGTTTGCTTTTCCTCCTGCCTCCCTTTTTGCTTCTTGTCAGAATGGAGACTACAACAAGCCCATCCCTGCTCAGTACATGGAACACCTTAACCATGTTGTGTCAGGTGGTACGACTTTCTGTGATCCTACCAAACCCCAACAGTGGGTGAGCAGCCAAATTCTGCTTTGCAAGAAATGCAACAACCATCAAACCACAAAGATCAAACAGCTGGCTTCATTCTCACCGAGGGAGGAGGTAAGTGTTCGTTAGGGACTGGGTGTCACGGGAGGATGTTTGTCCAAGGCATTCCCATGCATGTATCTGCTGTTCCTGCGCTGTTGAGTTCCATGCTGCAGCCTAGTGAGGAGGAGAGGGAGGAGTCTTTCAGTGTGCTGTGGAATGGTGCTCCAGAAGCATTATGTGGTACTCCCGTGCTGAGAAGGTTACTGATTAGTGTTGCAAACCTACCTAATCCTACTCCATAGCCAGAAGGTGATGGCCTGTTCTAGATGGACACTGGAAGTTGAAGCTTGAGCTCAAAACCAGACTCGCACGTTGCTGAGGTCAGCTTACAACTGCAGTACTTGCTGTTGACCCAGCTGAGCTTACAGGATCTGGTAGGTGCTACAGCCCACTAGTCACCTTGAAGCCTTAATAGATTTTGTTTATCCTGAGGCCTTGGCTGTGCTGCTCTGCTTTTACTTGTGGAATGGGAGAGGAATCCTGTGCAGCCACATCATCTCCCTGGTCAGGCATTTGTGCCTAGGAGGGCAAAGGGATTTTACAGTTAGAGCAGCAGGATTTACTGCTGAGCAACTTCTTGGCCTTCCC